GAGACAAAGGCATCCAATGCTCGGAAGTGATGATCGTTGAGCGCGTGTTTCCGCGCCGCGAGTACTACTTCGCGCTGATGATGGAGCGCGCGTTCAACGGCCCCGTCATCATCGCCTCCTCGCAGGGGGGAGTGGCCATCGAGGACGTGGCCCGCGACTCGCCCGAAGCCATCGTCACCCAACCCATCGACATCGAGAAGGGAGTGGACAGAGAGTTGGCGTCTTCGGTGGTGAAGAAGTTGGGATTCCACGCGTCGAGTCACGAGCAGGCCGTCGACCTCATCATCAAACTCTACGAAGTGTTCATCGCGAAGGACGCGCTTATGGTCGAAATCAATCCCATGATCGAAGACACTGAGGGACAGGTGCTGTGTTTGGACGCGAAGGTGCGCTTCGACGACAACGCCGAGTTCCGACAGAAGGAGATCTTCGCCCGGAAGGACACGACGCAAGTGGACGAGCGCGAGCTCAAGGCCTCGCAATACAACCTCAACTTCATCGCTCTGGACGGAGACATCGGGTGTTTGGTGAACGGCGCCGGCCTCGCGATGGCCACGATGGACATCATCAAACTGCACGGCGGCAATCCGGCCAACTTCCTGGACGTGGGCGGCGGCGCGACCGCACAACAGGTGACCGAAGCGTTTCGTCTCATTTCTTCGGACTCCAAAGTTCAGGCGATTTTAGTGAACATTTTCGGCGGAATCATGAGATGCGATGTCATCGCCGAAGGAGTGATTGAGGCGGCGAAGACTCTCAAACTCAAGATCCCGATCGTGATTCGTCTGCAAGGTTTGCTTCCATTGCCACCGAATGAACGCTAATTCACTAATTGTCTGCTCAATAGGCACTCAAGTGGACGACGCAAAGACTCTGATCGCGACGAGTGGTCTCCGCATCCTTGCGTGCGATAACTTGGAAGAAGCGGCCAAAATGGTGGTCAAGATGTCGGCCATTGTGGGTTTGGCGCGCTCGGCGTCGGTCGACGTGAACTTTGAACTCCCGATTTAATGCCTTTGATTGCGATTTGTAAATAGATTACAATTTATTCACTTTCTGTTGTTTTATAGTTCCGACAATTATTTATTGAATTCAAAACACATTTTTGTCGCGAAATTAGTCTTCAATCCAAAACTCATTCAATTTTTCGTTAATCTAAAGAGTATTTCGAGTTATTATTACTTAAAACACAGTTTATTATTATTTTGTCACTAAAACGTGAATCTCTCACAAAATAATGTGTTATTCTTTTTACAAATTATATTTAGGAATAAATATGTGTCTTTAAAAGCGATTTTTAATCAATTATTGTTATAACGAATAAATTGTTAAGTCTTTTGAATTTAAATAAAATTTAAAATTGATTACAAAATAATTAAACAATTGAAATAAATGCAAAATTCTGTGTCAAAGCCTTTAATCTTTGAGTTAATGGGATTTTAAGCGGAAATTCATTTGAAATTGATTTTCCGTTTTTCAATTCAAATAATCGACAAAACGATCACAACTTCGCAAAACCTAATCAAACACCAAATCTGAAGCGATTGTTTTTAAGGCGATAAAAATACTCTACTTTTAAACATTTATTGGCATTTCTCTCGTGTTTTGCAATTTTCACACATTTTTCACAAAACACAAGACATTTCCAATAAATTTCTCGAAACTCTATTCACAAAGCATTCATTGCACAAGTAGTGCAATCACAACTCTGCTGACAAACAATATAGATATCTATAGCAGAGATTATTCGGGAATAAAAACAGTTAAATGCGGGAACATTCGGGAATTCACGTTTAGTTCAAACACAATAATTGTAGATTCAATCATTTTGTGAATAACAGTGTAGAATAACATAGAAATTGAAGTTTTATTCTTTAAGCACATGTTAGTGCACTGTTTGTTAGACATCTTATCTCAGAATTTTGTGGATTTTTTAAATAATATTTTTAGTTTTTTTAAAGAGTGTGTCTTGCTTTGCATAAAATTTCGGGGTTTTTTCTAAAATATGTCAAAATCCGGAATATTCTCAAAATATGCAAAAACATTTTTTCTCTGTTATGACTTACTGGATGGTATTCCCGAACATTCTATTAAATAATTTTATTCGGGAATTCCATGGAATATCTGTAAACTGCTACTGTAACTCTATAACTGTAAAAGAGCAATATTCAAAAGCCTATCATTAAAAAGTAGTTATTTTCAGGAATAATTTTTCAGATTTTATGTTAAAATCAAAACATTAAAAAAGTAATTATTTTTGTATTTTAATTCATAACTAATTTTATTCGGGAATTCCCGACGAATCTTTGCTCTATAGATATCTATAGAATCTATAGAATTGAAAATATTTTCCCTCTAAAAAGTTACACCAAATATATTTTCTGGGAAATTCCAATATTTCGGGAAGATATTGGGAATGGGAATTCTTCCCAAAGTTTACAAATAATATTCTATAGAATTAATATTAATTTATAAGAAACACTAAAACTTGGAAACTGGGAATTCCCGTCAATTGGCATCAAAAAGTTATGGAAATTATGAAACCTTTTGTTGCGGGTGAAACCATATCATATAAAAACGTTTGCAGCGCCGAAGTGGCGGCCATTTCAAGATTAAATAATTTTACTGAATTTTGCACATTTCTGTCACATTCTCAGCCAAGAGGTCAAATGAATGTATTTGATTAGTTTCACATAAAATCTGAAAAATTGATTTTTTATGTATTATTCTTTACAGTTATCCTATTGTACTCAAATACTAGGGATCTATGACTAAAATCCCGTCTCATATTTTGGTATATACATGTAGATTGTCAACATGCAGCAAGTACCTTTTGAGTCACGCATTTCCCCAAACGCTTCTCTCTCTCAACGCTATCTCTAAACAATATATTTGTCGCGAAATTAATTCCGGAATTCATTCAAATGGAAAGTTTATGCAAAAAATATTGTGATCGGAATTTTTGAATAAAAATTACTTTGAGAATTGAATTCACGTTTTTATTGCAAAGAATTATTTACTCAAACGTTTAATGACAAGGAATTTGGGAAATATTGTTATATTTTTCGTGTTTTGTATCAAATTCTTAAAAGATTAGATAAATCCGTGTTTTTATTGAAAACGTGTTTTGTTTTGCAAATTACTGTCAAAAATGGATTGAGAACTGGATTTGTAAACAATTCTAATAATAATAATTGAATTTCTGTTTTTAACTTTTAATCCTTTTGTTAGAAAACATATTTCAATACAAGTTTACAATTATATTGAATTTCAACAAAATTTAAATCTTTGCAAAATTAATCTCATTTTTAAAGATTAATAATTATTGTTTACACATTTCATGTAAAAATCAATATTTTCTCACTTCAAAAGACACTCAATAAAAAATCGCAAGAAATCAATAATTTTAATAAATAAAAAAACTGTTTTGTTATTTAATTATTCGAGAGTTTGTGTAATTGCAGTCAAACGGAGACAAAGATTGCAATTTAATTAGGTTTTTGTGAAACATTGCATTCAAACAAACATTTAGATAAATGAGAAAACAACGAAAGTCTTTATTATTTGTAATTTCGTTGAATTATAGAGAATGACATCATTTTATGCTTCATTTCAATTATCATTTGTTTTATAAATTGCAATCATTTGTGATTTGATTCAAACGTTACATATTTAGAGCATAATTCGGATTTAAAAGCATTTTTAGGTTTATATTAAGAAATAGTGAACTCTATATTAAATTATTTTTTGTTTTAATGCCAATAACATCGGCAAAAGTGTGTTAACATGTATTTTGCGGTTTTTGTGCTTAAAATGTGTTTTTCTGACATTGATTTATGCGTTAATATGTGTTAAGTGTTATAAATTTGAGAGAATTATCTGTTTATTGAATAATATT